GGGGGGGGGGGGGGGGGCTGTTTGTGGTTTTACGCACCTATATTAATGTGAAGGTTAGGGAGTAGGTGAGGAAAACCATTATAATATCTGATTTAAGAGATGCTTAACATATAATTAGGGATTTTAAGTGATAATATTGCCTTTATTTATTTATTTTGACTTTTGTATATTTAATAATCTACCGTAAAATTCCAAAAATAAGCCCCTCCATGTATAAGCCCCTCCAAATATGAGCCCCCCCGAAGCCGGTAACGCAAAAAACCCTCCGTTTAATCGCCCCTCCGAATATAAGCCCCCCCCGGGAGCTTGTACTTGGAAAATTGTTCTCAAATAAAAAAAAGTATAACAAAGCAAAAACGGTAAATTTACTTCCAACTATATGGCTAGCCCAACCGATTTTGAAAGGCAAATTCCCCTCCTTAGATAAGCCCCTCCAAAAACAAGCCCCTCAAAAAGGACCTTTGAAAAATATATGCACCGGGGCTTATTTTCGGAATTTTACGGTATTTTTATCTGACTGATTTAAAATTAGGTGCTTCTTTTATTGGGAATACTCTGTAGATGGTGAGGAAAAACATGATGGAGGAGGTGCTGCTTACCGGATGTCTGTAAAGATCTAGTACAGAGTGATAGATTCCATGAACAGAGTAGTGCGGTGTGGGAAGTGGAGGATGTTAGCCATGGAGTGGATTCCATGGAGCAAGAAGACACCATACAGGATGCGAGAAGTTAGAAGAACCATTTTCCTTCTATTTTTTATATACTAAACAAACTTGTTTTCTTTCTTGCATAACAAGTCTGACTTAGACTAGTTTACATTTAAAAACTTTGGATATTGACTTTCAATTGATAAAAAGAAACGGTTTGTTATCAATAAAATTTTCTTACGCTGGTGTTGTTCTTTTATTGGCCGCTACTTCTTCTTTTTCTTTTTGGTCTCTTCTAGAATTTGGTTAGCCAAGCGGTCTAGCTGCCCTGCCATAAGTTGCAGTTGGGCAGCTACCCGCTTGGCTCTATTACTGTGTTTTTAATTTCTTTTGATTTTTGTTTTAACCTTTCTTCTTTTCCTTTCAACTCTTTCTCTTCTCTTTCAATCTCCTTTCTCCTCTCCCCAATCTCAATGGCTGTCAGGTAACTCCTAACTTCTATTTCTTCTTCCGGGGATAGCTGTAAAAATGAGTAACCCATCTATAATAATCTGTCTATTATTGTTAACTTATCTTACCCCGGTCTCTACGATAACAAAATATGATGAGCTCATCCTTTAAAACAAAAAGCATCCTATCTCAACAAAATATTGAAAGCCTTGTCTCATCAGGAGCTAAGAAGGCAATCAAGGAAACATGTCATGGGAGGAGAGGTAACGTAAACCCAAATAAAAATTGCCATCGGGGAATGGGGCGGGTTTAGGAGAAAAGGCCTGTGTCCATACCTTTCGACGCCATTATGGTACCGTTTGGCTGAGCCCTACGTGCCTTTTGTTACTTTAAGATGCCTTTTGCTTTTCCAGAAAACCATGAGATTGGGAGTTAGCTGGTATCAACAGGGGACTTCTGTAAATTATGAGTCACAGTATTTTCTCATTTCATTTTTGTTTGTATAAAATTAACCTTGTTTTACCTATTTGATCTCTTAAAATTTGGGGTACAATCTAGGTTTAATTAATTGCTCCACACAAATAAAGATTTTAAAGCAAGTGTATATCATCATATCTCTGAGAGTATTTTAAGTGTTTCCGCCTTTTATTTGAATGGTATTTAACTCCTCATACAGATCTGCCAACCCCTGATAAAGGAAAATCTGGAGACTCATGAAATAAATCGGGAGATTATACAAAAAGTAGTGAGATTCTATTTTTTTCCCGGTTAAAATTAAACGATCCCTTTTCCATTAGGGGGATAACTGTTTATTTTAATATAACCTTGCTTTTAGTGCGGGCCTCTCTTGTAACAAATTAGATGCCAGTTTTTCTTTGATGACTTAATTAAGAGGCCAGAAAATAGGTCATCACTGGGACGAAACATACAGCAGAGTCATTTATTTTGGGCTGAGACAACTTCATGGCTAAAATTGTCAAAGCTTATCCAGGAGTAAGAATTTCTCACAAAATTTCCATTTTTATTCAACAATGAAGGTAATACTTTATTTTAGAATGATATTTCCCAAAAACCATGAGATTGGGAGTCTTTTCATGAGGCCGTGAGAAAAGTTGAAAAATCGTGAGACTCACGGCAGAATTGTGAGAGTTGGCAGGTCTGCTTCATATGATATTTTTTATCGAAACCTGTATGTAGTAGGAAGAAACTTTGTATTAAGTGGGCACTGGAGCATTCTCTGAGGTGTCCACTTAAATTATACAAGTTTCACTGTAAATGCTTGACTCCATTCGCACTAACAATTGATGTGAAACGATATGAAATTGCTTTATGCATAATAGATGTACATATTTGGAGCTGCATGTAAATCTTTTGCTATCTATTAAAACTTAATGTAAGCTTACATGTATTGCAGAGAAATATCCTTTGCTTCAACAAGATGGTAAAAAATATATTCCTGGTGTAATTATTATAGGTACATAGTGTTGCTGAATCGGATGATGAGGCTCAAGAGGTAACTGAAGTTTTCGAATCGGATAACAATAGAGCGTATTCACTCACGTGGCCAGCATCTATGGTAATTAATACGAACAAAAGAACGTTTTTACATAAGAAAAGAGTTCAATTCCGACTGGGTTGCCTTTGGTACACCAACATGACCGCCGTTTTATTGTTTTGGAACACCAATATGGCCGCCGTGACGTCATGTGAATACGCCATATAAGCGATAATCGGACGACAAGTAAGGCTTAAGAGGTATGACGTCATCGATTCGGATGATGTGGCGACTTGCAAGTCGCAAATGAAGAGATAGTTAGAGTTGGATGATAATGTTCAAGGTGAGACAGATGTGGTTAATTGGATTAGTATAGAGCTGAGAAAGGGAGCCCATTCCTGGAGAGTCGACGGGCTATTTCACAATGATTCAGATATCAAGAGATATATATCTAACTCAACTTAATTACACAAAAGTATCATCTTTATTTTGTCGAAACCCATGCTCCTATAGGGCGTTTTCACATGACGTCACTGGTGTCCCAAAGCAATGAAACGGCCGCCAGGTTGGTTTACCAAGAAAATCCTCCGGTAGTTGAACTCTTTTCTCATGTAAATGCTTTCTTTGTTCCAATAAATTTAGCGTAGATGCTGGCCTCGTGAGGGAAAACGCTCCGCTATAGCTCATGATCGATGTAACCGACAATTACATCGGTAAGAGTACATAAATGCCAGCATTAATCTATTCGTCAGCTGGAGACACAAGAGCAATGAAAATAGTGTTAGTATGATAAATTTGTAATATTGAATATAATAAAAATAATATAAAGTACAATTCACTAAAAAAGTTCAAACTGTTGAAACAGGTTATGGTTACTTTTAAGACATCTGAGTATTTTTCCAATTACTCTTAAAACAAACTAGATCTGACATGTACAATTTCCCAAAAAAATGTTTGGTTTGACGAAAGCAGGGGTGTCAACTTGAGAAATCCTTTCATAGGCATACCGAATAAATAATCATGAATAGAGATTATAGAGCCTATGGCTCGTCCATCCATATTAATTGCTTTAAGGGGTCAGTACATGCATGCATTATGTTCTTAGAGAATACTGCTATTTCAATTAAAGATAAAAGTTAAAGATCCTTGATCGCCCTTTAACTCGAATTCGGTCATACCTTTTAAATTTTTTTCGCACAAAAAGGAGGCGATTGTTCGAGGGAAGACGATTATTGGAGTAGGCGAATATTTCAAATATTACTCACTGGAAGTCGTGCCCAAATGAAATATATTGTTTCATCATCTCATTAGGAGCCAGGCTCCTGCTATCATTAAATCTTTACAATGCCATTGTCTTTGGCGCCATTCATTGGTCAGTTTGCTGGATCAGAGTTCACTTCAACTTGACAGGAAGAGGATAAAAGAAAGAGAAGATGGTGAGAGGGGTATGGTGGTGGTGGGGGGGGGGGGGGAATTATTCGGGGCAGACGATTAATCGGGGAAAAATGGAAGTGAAAAACTTGAAAAGGGTTTTCGGTTGGGGTTTAATAAGGGAAAAGAGGCTTCAAACCCCTTTTTTGGTAAACGTTTTTAAATAATTACCTTAGAAACTACGGGTTTTCGTGGGGTAACCGCCCGGGCCCTTTTTCCGACAACTTTCCCTGTTTACAGGGGGCTGTGGATATTTATTTTGACTTTTGTATATTTAATAATCTACCGTAAAATTCCAAAAATAAGCCCCTCCATGTATAAGCCCCTCCAAATATGAGCCCCCCCGAAGCCGGTAACGCAAAAAACCCTCCGTTTAATCGCCCCTCCGAATATAAGCCCCCCCCGGGAGCTTGTACTTGGAAAATTGTTCTCAAATAAAAAAAAGTATAACAAAGCAAAAACGGTAAATTTACTTCCAACTATATGGCTAGCCCAACCGATTTTGAAAGGCAAATTCCCCTCCTTAGATAAGCCCCTCCAAAAACAAGCCCCTCAAAAAGGACCTTTGAAAAATATATGCACCGGGGCTTATTTTCGGAATTTTACGGTATTTTTATCTGACTGATTTAAAATTAGGTGCTTCTTTTATTGGGAATACTCTGTAGATGGTGAGGAAAAACATGATGGAGGAGGTGCTGCTTACCGGATGTCTGTAAAGATCTAGTACAGAGTGATAGATTCCATGAACAGAGTAGTGCGGTGTGGGAAGTGGAGGATGTTAGCCATGGAGTGGATTCCATGGAGCAAGAAGACACCATACAGGATGCGAGAAGTTAGAAGAACCATTTTCCTTCTATTTTTTATATACTAAACAAACTTGTTTTCTTTCTTGCATAACAAGTCTGACTTAGACTAGTTTACATTTAAAAACTTTGGATATTGACTTTCAATTGATAAAAAGAAACGGTTTGTTATCAATAAAATTTTCTTACGCTGGTGTTGTTCTTTTATTGGCCGCTACTTCTTCTTTTTCTTTTTGGTCTCTTCTAGAATTTGGTTAGCCAAGCGGTCTAGCTGCCCTGCCATAAGTTGCAGTTGGGCAGCTACCCGCTTGGCTCTATTACTGTGTTTTTAATTTCTTTTGATTTTTGTTTTAACCTTTCTTCTTTTCCTTTCAACTCTTTCTCTTCTCTTTCAATCTCCTTTCTCCTCTCCCCAATCTCAATGGCTGTCAGGTAACTCCTAACTTCTATTTCTTCTTCCGGGGATAGCTGTAAAAATGAGTAACCCATCTATAATAATCTGTCTATTATTGTTAACTTATCTTACCCCGGTCTCTACGATAACAAAATATGATGAGCTCATCCTTTAAAACAAAAAGCATCCTATCTCAACAAAATATTGAAAGCCTTGTCTCATCAGGAGCTAAGAAGGCAATCAAGGAAACATGTCATGGGAGGAGAGGTAACGTAAACCCAAATAAAAATTGCCATCGGGGAATGGGGCGGGTTTAGGAGAAAAGGCCTGTGTCCATACCTTTCGACGCCATTATGGTACCGTTTGGCTGAGCCCTACGTGCCTTTTGTTACTTTAAGATGCCTTTTGCTTTTCCAGAAAACCATGAGATTGGGAGTTAGCTGGTATCAACAGGGGACTTCTGTAAATTATGAGTCACAGTATTTTCTCATTTCATTTTTGTTTGTATAAAATTAACCTTGTTTTACCTATTTGATCTCTTAAAATTTGGGGTACAATCTAGGTTTAATTAATTGCTCCACACAAATAAAGATTTTAAAGCAAGTGTATATCATCATATCTCTGAGAGTATTTTAAGTGTTTCCGCCTTTTATTTGAATGGTATTTAACTCCTCATACAGATCTGCCAACCCCTGATAAAGGAAAATCTGGAGACTCATGAAATAAATCGGGAGATTATACAAAAAGTAGTGAGATTCTATTTTTTTCCCGGTTAAAATTAAACGATCCCTTTTCCATTAGGGGGATAACTGTTTATTTTAATATAACCTTGCTTTTAGTGCGGGCCTCTCTTGTAACAAATTAGATGCCAGTTTTTCTTTGATGACTTAATTAAGAGGCCAGAAAATAGGTCATCACTGGGACGAAACATACAGCAGAGTCATTTATTTTGGGCTGAGACAACTTCATGGCTAAAATTGTCAAAGCTTATCCAGGAGTAAGAATTTCTCACAAAATTTCCATTTTTATTCAACAATGAAGGTAATACTTTATTTTAGAATGATATTTCCCAAAAACCATGAGATTGGGAGTCTTTTCATGAGGCCGTGAGAAAAGTTGAAAAATCGTGAGACTCACGGCAGAATTGTGAGAGTTGGCAGGTCTGCTTCATATGATATTTTTTATCGAAACCTGTATGTAGTAGGAAGAAACTTTGTATTAAGTGGGCACTGGAGCATTCTCTGAGGTGTCCACTTAAATTATACAAGTTTCACTGTAAATGCTTGACTCCATTCGCACTAACAATTGATGTGAAACGATATGAAATTGCTTTATGCATAATAGATGTACATATTTGGAGCTGCATGTAAATCTTTTGCTATCTATTAAAACTTAATGTAAGCTTACATGTATTGCAGAGAAATATCCTTTGCTTCAACAAGATGGTAAAAAATATATTCCTGGTGTAATTATTATAGGTACATAGTGTTGCTGAATCGGATGATGAGGCTCAAGAGGTAACTGAAGTTTTCGAATCGGATAACAATAGAGCGTATTCACTCACGTGGCCAGCATCTATGGTAATTAATACGAACAAAAGAACGTTTTTACATAAGAAAAGAGTTCAATTCCGACTGGGTTGCCTTTGGTACACCAACATGACCGCCGTTTTATTGTTTTGGAACACCAATATGGCCGCCGTGACGTCATGTGAATACGCCATATAAGCGATAATCGGACGACAAGTAAGGCTTAAGAGGTATGACGTCATCGATTCGGATGATGTGGCGACTTGCAAGTCGCAAATGAAGAGATAGTTAGAGTTGGATGATAATGTTCAAGGTGAGACAGATGTGGTTAATTGGATTAGTATAGAGCTGAGAAAGGGAGCCCATTCCTGGAGAGTCGACGGGCTATTTCACAATGATTCAGATATCAAGAGATATATATCTAACTCAACTTAATTACACAAAAGTATCATCTTTATTTTGTCGAAACCCATGCTCCTATAGGGCGTTTTCACATGACGTCACTGGTGTCCCAAAGCAATGAAACGGCCGCCAGGTTGGTTTACCAAGAAAATCCTCCGGTAGTTGAACTCTTTTCTCATGTAAATGCTTTCTTTGTTCCAATAAATTTAGCGTAGATGCTGGCCTCGTGAGGGAAAACGCTCCGCTATAGCTCATGATCGATGTAACCGACAATTACATCGGTAAGAGTACATAAATGCCAGCATTAATCTATTCGTCAGCTGGAGACACAAGAGCAATGAAAATAGTGTTAGTATGATAAATTTGTAATATTGAATATAATAAAAATAATATAAAGTACAATTCACTAAAAAAGTTCAAACTGTTGAAACAGGTTATGGTTACTTTTAAGACATCTGAGTATTTTTCCAATTACTCTTAAAACAAACTAGATCTGACATGTACAATTTCCCAAAAAAATGTTTGGTTTGACGAAAGCAGGGGTGTCAACTTGAGAAATCCTTTCATAGGCATACCGAATAAATAATCATGAATAGAGATTATAGAGCCTATGGCTCGTCCATCCATATTAATTGCTTTAAGGGGTCAGTACATGCATGCATTATGTTCTTAGAGAATACTGCTATTTCAATTAAAGATAAAAGTTAAAGATCCTTGATCGCCCTTTAACTCGAATTCGGTCATACCTTTTAAATTTTTTTCGCACAAAAAGGAGGCGATTGTTCGAGGGAAGACGATTATTGGAGTAGGCGAATATTTCAAATATTACTCACTGGAAGTCGTGCCCAAATGAAATATATTGTTTCATCATCTCATTAGGAGCCAGGCTCCTGCTATCATTAAATCTTTACAATGCCATTGTCTTTGGCGCCATTCATTGGTCAGTTTGCTGGATCAGAGTTCACTTCAACTTGACAGGAAGAGGATAAAAGAAAGAGAAGATGGTGAGAGGGGTATGGTGGTGGTGGGGGGGGGGGGGAATTATTCGAGGCAGACGATTAATCGAGGAAATATGGAAGTGCAAAACTTG